TTCAATCATGCACTCAATTCAAATCACAAATTGTAATCGACGAAGTGAACGAAGCCTAATGCTATATTTGGTAGAAAGGAAAGAAAATAGGATAGAAATGAAATATGGAAGTGATGAAAAATAACAATGATAGAAAGAAAATTGAATTTCTTTTATGTTGTTTGGTATGAGAAGATTGAAAGAAAATGAGCTTACCTTCACTTGTTTGGTATTGAAAGTTAAATTAAGAGTAAAGAAAAAATCTTACTCATAAATTACTTTTATACCATTAAATTTTTTGCTTGGATGTTGATGGAGAAAATGATAGTTTAGTAACTTTACTCACTTTAATGAGTTGTCCCCATTTTTCATTCTATTTTCTGCCCACTTGTGAAAAGAAAAAAAATAGTGGGACCCACATGTATTATTTTTCACTTTATTTTCTCTTATTTTCTTTTTTCTCTCCTACCAAGCGACTTACATTTTTATTTTTCCTCTTAAAATCTCAACCTTCTTCCTTCTTTTTACTTTTTTTTCTTACCAAACATACTCTAAGTATACACATCAGCAAAGCCTGTGAGACAAGCTAAAATGCTAAAATAACCAACTTGATCTAATAAGTACTCAAGAAACGTGGCAAATAACCATTGTGGCGTTGATTAATAGGCAAACTTGTTCTTTGTCTCACTTTGGAGACCCTGGCAAGAGAACTTGACAAGACTTCACTCACTTCACTCTGTGAATGGTAACTGTAACGGGCTGCGGGGTTAGATCTCTCTCTCTCTCCTCTCTCTCTCTTCTTATGTCACTTTGTCAACCAGAAAGCTTCATGGGATTTTTGACATTTAGCGAAGTGTGGTTGAAAAATGGCCTAGGCCCCACTTGCAAACCAAGGGGAAAAAAAGGCAGAAAGTGTGATGGAATTCAACAATAATCACCACTACTACAACCCCAAAACTGGGCTTTGATTCCTTCAATCTTCAAAATCCGTCCTTTTTGGTGGTTTTTAAGGAAAGATACAGAATTCCAATATTTTGATAAAGTATCAGCACCAAAAATAAAATAAAATAAAATAGTTCCATTATTTTGGAGAGCATTATTTTAGCTTTCCCTTTGGACTTGGACTTGCGTAGGATCCAAGTCCTTTCCCATTCATTCTTGGCCTCTTTTTTTTTCACTTTTTATCTTCTCTTCACCAAAAATCTTTACCTGACTTTCTTGTAAAACAGAGAAAAAGAAAAGCTGAGTAATTTGCAGGATATGGAGGTTAATATCTTTTTCTGTGGTTTAATGATTTTCTAATGACTGTTCATTCATGGGAATTGGAGAGTTTATCTGATCTGGGATTCATCAGATTCTTCTTGTCTCTTCAGATTCTTAATTTTTTGGAGGTGGGGTTTCTGACACCTGATGTTATCTATCTCTTGCTTCATTTCCTTTCTTATCATCAATTGAAAAATCATATCCAGAAATTTATCTAGTTGGAAGATTCCTCTCTTGCTTTTATTTATTTCTTTTTTTTGTGTAATTAATTATGAGGGTGGGTGGAAGTTTTTTTCTTATAAATATATGTGTGGGTTGATGATATGTGAATTATGCTAGAAACTGTTTCAATTATTTTTCAATGAGTGGCCTCCAAGGAGACAATTAAAGCAGTTTTTGTTAATTGTATCTGGGTTGGTTGATTTTTTTTTTTTTAATTTTTGGTTTTGAAGGATAAAGATGACTTATTGAATCCGAATTCGGATACCCTTTTGATCAAATTGAGGTTTACCACCTTTGGTATATGTTTTCCTCATAATTTCTTCTTTGTGATGTCTGTTTTTCTTATTTGTTACTCTCATGAGTTGATGAATTCTTGTGCTTGTGTTGATTTATGTCCAAGCCTTCAGAAAGAATCTTATTAATGTAATGCTCTTAAGAGGTAGAATTTTTCAATGCAGCAGAAGTTTAAGCACCATTGGTATCTCCTTTCTCCATTTCTCCTTTCCTCGTTATTAAGTGAAATGACTTGGATTGCAGGAAATAGTTTGCCGGCCGGCCCACGGGCGAATAAATTGCTGCGTTTATGGGTTGGCTAACTAAGATTCTTAAAGGTTCTAGCCATAGAACTTCACATGGGCAATATCGTGGAAGATATGGAGAGGATGGATATTGGAGCGAGCCTCGGCGTTCTGTGGTAGTTGCCATTCTTTCTTTTACTGTCATTTGTTCTTTTTTCCTGCTCATCTATATGTGTTGGTTTGGCTGTTTTCGCGTAGTTGCTGAACAGAAGGACACTAATTACTAGTTAGTTCATGATAAACAGAAGTGATGATCATAAGCCAACATTCTTGCATCATAATTGTGCTAATTTGTTTATGATAAGCTATGATACAGGATGATTCTTCGGACTTCGATAAAGAAGAAATCGAATGTGCAATTGCACTTTCCCTTTCAGACGCAGACCAAAAAGGGAAAAAGGTTGTTGGTAAGTTGTTGCCTTTGTATAACATTATGCTCAAAATGCGGCTGGCAATACAAATTGGTTAAATACTATTTGTCAGTTTGTTTTGCTTGCAGAAGATGACGTCTTGCGAGTTTTTTGAAAGAAATAGTATTTATTGTAGTAGCTAGCTAAATTCCATGCGCGTTATATGATGATACTTTGTAGTCTGTAGATTGCTTTAGATGTGCCTAAATCGACAGTCAGACTTGTTCTAAGACTTAATCAGAGGTGTACTTTGAAGAAACATTCTGAGGTTTTCAATACCTTTATTTAGTGTTACATACTTGGAAATAGCAGTTGAGGGTAATCTTTTGACTTTTACTAATCTCTTTGTAGACCATGAAACGGAATCGGAATCAGAAGCTGATGAATGCATTGCCGAAGTTGAATCGGAAGCTGATGAATGCATTGCCGAAGTTGAATCGGAAGCTGGTGAATGCCTTGCCGAAGTTGAATCGGAAGCTGGTGAATGCCTTGTGGAAGTTGAATCGGATGAAGAATCGGATGAAGACAAACAATTAGTTAAAGTTGAAACAGAGAAAGATGAGTGCATTGCCGAAGTTGAATCGGAAGCTGGTGAATGCCTTGTGGAAGTTGAATCGGATGAAGACAAACAATTAGTTAAAGTTGAAACAGAGAAAGATGAGCAGCTTTCAAAAGCTCAATTGGAGGAAGATGAACAGCTTGCCAGGGCTATTCAAGAAAGTCTCAGCATGGATTCTCCTCCTCATTATGATCACGGCGGCTTATTTAATCCATTCTCGTTTCCATCTGGATACAGGTAAACACAGTCATCACATCATTATATACCAGTATCAAATCCATGATCCTCTTCATTTCAAGAGAAAAAAGTCCATGTGTACGGCATTATTTCGAAAATCTTGACGTTGTTATCCTGCTTAATTTCATACTTACAGAGGTTGTTTACCAATTTAGGCCTTTGATCACTGATGAATTGGTAGACGGATATGTAACTTTGGGGAATTCACACAAGTGAAATATGTATAGAGTAGTCCCATTTGCAAATTAATTAGTCCTTTTTTTTATGATTGTGTTACACAAAATATTGCTATGCAGGATATGTGCTGGCTGCAAAGCCGATATTGGCCGCGGACGATTTTTGAGTTGCATGAATGCTGTTTGGCATCCAGAATGTTTTCGCTGCCACGCCTGCAATCTTCCCATCACCGATTATGAGGTCTGAATAGATTCAATTTTTTCCTTGAATCTGTTGATAAAGTGCCTTAATTCCTTGGTAAAGTTTCCTTTTATATTGGTTGTTGCATAACTAGTCTCTCTTTCTTGTAACAGTTTTCTATGTCTGGAAATCGTCCTTACCACAAATCCTGTTATAAGGAGCAGCATCATCCTAGATGCGATGTTTGCAGTAACTTTGTAAGCTTCTTGTCGTTTCGGTTCTCGCACTTTTGTAGCATCAAGCTCTTTTGGTGCTTGTTCTAATTATGAATCTTTTCAGATCCCAACCAATTCAAAAGGTTTGATCGAGTATAGGGCACATCCCTTCTGGATGCAAAAGTACTGCCCATCTCATGAGCGTGATGGGACGCCTCGGTGTTGCAGCTGTGAAAGAATGGAGGTCAGTTAATATTAAAGGAAGCATAAAATTGTTTTCTTATCAACCCTTTTCTTCACACATACTAATGATTTACCTTTCAATCCATACAGCCAAGAGACACAAGATATTTGTTACTAGATGATGGTCGGAAGTTATGCTTGGAGTGTCTAGATTCTTCTATTATGGATACGCATGAATGCCAACCACTTTACCTTGAAATACAAGAATTCTATGAAGGCTTAAACATGAAAGTGGAGCAGCAGATTCCAATGCTCTTGGTCGAGAGACAAGCACTAAATGAGGCCATGGAAGGAGAAAAGAATGTAAATCTCAAAATGCTTTTAACATTACTACTTTAAAAATAAATAAATAATATATATGTATATTTCTTTTTCTATATTGGCTTCATTTTTTTTTTTTTTTTTTCATTTAGTTAAGGTTACCAAAATTGTCTCACTTGTGAGCAGGGCCATCATCACTTGCCAGAAACTAGAGGGCTCTGCTTGTCGGAAGAACAGACTGTTACAACTGTAAGAAATTCATTTTCCCCCTAATGTTTGACCCTTGAAGCCTCATTTTATTTCAAAAAAAGCAAAAATATAAATTTGTTACCATATTGACAGATATTAAAAAGGCCAAATATTGGAGCAGGATACCGGATCATAGACATGATAACAGAACCTTATAGGCTGATCCGTAAATGTGAAGTCACAGCAATTCTTGTTTTGTATGGCCTACCAAGGTATTGTATTTCCCTTCAGATTATCATAAATCATATAACATGTAATCAAGTCTTCTAAATTGTTGGGCCTAAAAAAAATGTGCACAGGTTGTTGACAGGGTCAATTCTTGCTCATGAGATGATGCATGCATGGCTCAGACTCAAAGGTAGAATACTTAATGTATTTTTATTGCTAACTTGCCGTTGTTACTAGGTCATTGCTATTCGGCATTGGTAGTGTTGGGCACCACAATTCACATTGAACGGGTCTTGAATGTGGGCCCCTATATTTGTGATTCATCTATTATGAGTATTGGTAATCTTTTTCGCCTTATCAATGGTGTGTTTTGACAGGCTATCCCAATCTTAGTCCAGAGGTTGAGGAAGGTATCTGCCAAGTGCTGGCACACATGTGGTTAGACTCTGAGATGTATTCTGCATCCGGTAGCGATATTCCCTCATCATCCTCCTCCACTTCCTCTTCCTCTTCATCCTCGCCTGCGTCCACGTCGTCCAAGAAGGGGAAACGGTCCGACTTTGAAACGAAACTTGGTGAGTTTTTCAAACACCAGATCGAGTCAGATTCGTCCCCGGCTTATGGAGAAGGGTTCAGGAAAGGAGACCAGGCAGTTCTCAAGTATGGTCTGAGGAGCACACTTGACCATATTCGGCTGACAGGAAGCTTCCCATATTGACTTGCACAGGAATGTTGAAATATATCCATATGTATAATCAGTTTGCTTTCTCATCATCATGGGAAACAATACTTTTGCCCCTATAGTATTAGTTGCATAGGACTAAAAATCCATTAAAAAGAAAAATTATACTCAATAAGATACAATAAACATAAAAAAAATGGTTGATTCTATACGAATCCCTGTAATATCTTCCCAAATGTTTGCACTACATATTATACTTACGTGGTAATTTCAAGATGTTCAGGAAAAGAAAATTTTGTATACATATATGAATATGGAATGAGAAATGGCATATTTTATAAACATCCTTGTCTTGGATTGATTTTACGCTTTTGGATCGATTTTTTGATCTAGCCGCAAGTCAACTACAAATGACTTAGGATGTGTTCATTACATGGGTTGTGTAAGTGAGAGAAAAACACTATAGCAACAAAAATTAAATTTGATTTTACATAAGAGAAAATAGTGTAACAATATGACTTGAGTTATGCAAATGAACACACCCTTAATTTCCAATTCTTGACACTCTCAAAGACTAATTCTAAGGAAATTATGATGAGTTTCTAGTCTGCTCTCCTGGTTCCATTCTAGAATCAATTCGATGAAGTCTCAACGTCTGGAAACGGAAAGAGTACCCGCTTTCGTCTTCTTTTCCTCTATTTATTGGCAAAGATTCTGGTGGGAATCTTTTCTGAACCAATCTTGTCCGTAGACCTTCTTTGTATTTACTTGTATATCTTTTCCATTATAAGCAAAAATGTTGATGGTACTAATCCCAGGAAATGATGTCGAAAAAATGGGGGGTTAAGTAAGCTCACAAGGTCGTTTTATGTTTGTTTTCAACATAAATTCTTACATAAGTGGTTAAGTGAGACTAAATCTGTTGAAATTCAAACTAGCCGAATCTAGAGGATTTTTAGGTTCCTAGAATCATGGATATAACCGGTGCTACTTTGTAGGCTCTGTTGTAAACTAATTCCTAGAAATATGTAAAGTAGTTCCTAGTATCTAGGAGTTTTCTTAGGATCAAGTTTACGTTTTCTATGTATAAATACACCTGAAGTTTATTCAATTAATAAGATAAGAAAATTCCAATTATTCAAATCTTCATGGTATCAGAGCTCTAGGCTCTCTAACCCTAATTTCCTAGCCGTCACCCCTAGCTCTAGGCTCTCTAACCCTAATTTCCGAGCCGTCACCTCTAGCCTATCCTCACCATGGCCGAATCTGAACAAACCTCCAGAGACTCCTCGTCATCTGTTTCCCAGGCTCTCTAACCCTAATTTCCGAGCCGTCACCTCTAGCCTATCCTCACCATGGCCGAATCTGAACAAACCTCCAGAGACTCCTCGTCATCTGTTTCCCCTAATGTCACTATCAACCCTCCAACAACAACCTTGCCCCCATCATCAGTCACAAACTTAATGGCCATAACTATCTTCAATGGTCACAGACCATGATGATGTACATTAGTGGACGAAGCCGCGACGATTATATCACTGGTGCTGCTGTCCAACCAAGCATCAGTGATCCCAAATTCAAGACATGGAGAGCTGAAAATAATCTGGTCATGTCCTGGCTAATCAATTCAATGACGACGGAAACAGGCGAGAATTTCCTTCTCTATACGACTACTAAAGAAATCTGGGATGCAGCCCGTGACACCTTCTCCAACAGTGAAAATACTGCTGAACTCTTCCATGTGGAGAGTATCCTTCAAGATCTACGACAAGGAGATCAACCAGTAACCACCTACTTCACCACTTTGACGCGGTATTGGTAGCAGCTTGATCTGTTCAAAACTCATGAGTGAAAGTGTTCTGATGACAGCACATATTTCAAGAAAATAGTGGAGATCAAACGCATCTTCAAATTTCTAATGGGTCTGGACAAATCGCTTGATGAAGTACGCGAATGGATTTTAGGCACCAAAACCCATTCCAAGTCTCCGTGAAGTTTTCTTTGAAGTACGACGGGAGGAAAGCCGCAAACGAGTCATAATGGGACAATCCGATTCAACTCCTAATGGATCAGCCCTTGCAGCAATCAAAGACAATCAGGTCTCTTCAGAGCCAGTTGCCCTGGCTATTCGCGGAATGCCACAAAACTCCTGTCGAGGACGCCCCTGGTGTGACCACTACAAAAAGCCAGGCCACTCAAAGGAAACGTGTTGGAAGCTACACGGGAAACCTCTTGATTGGAAGCCAAGCCGAGATTGTGAAAGTCGAGGGAATACTACTGCTACAGAACCCACGAGGTCTCAAAGTCAGATTCCCTTCACTTAGGACCAGCTGGAACTACTTCAGCAGCTAATCAACAAAGCACAGCTCTCGGCCAATTCTGCAATTTCAACGGATGGGACATCACAGAGCACTAGCAATCTTGCACTTCATGTACCCAAGTCACCATCATCTTGGATAGTCGATTCGGGGGCTTTAGACCACATGACAGGTGATAGAACGTTATTGACAACATATATTCCATGTCAGGACTATCAGACTGTCCGAATAGCCAATGGCACATGTTCACGAGTAGCTGGAACAGGAACCATGCAGCTTTCAAAGACTCTTACCATCCACTCAGTGTTATTTGTTCCTGACCTAGATTGTAACCTAATTTCTGTGGGCAAACTGACTAATGACCTTCACTGCGAGACTAAGTTTTTTGCTAAATCTTGAGTTTTTCAGGACTTGAGTTCGGAGAAGATGATTGGTAGTGCTGACATATGTGCAGGCTTGTATCTCCTCAACGCAGCCACCACCTCAACTTATTCCCAGGTCAATAAAACAAGTGTCAGTCCTCAATGTCGGTCTGTCAATAGTCTAGAGTCAATAAGTCACGCAAATAAAGATAGTGCAATCTTAATGTGGCACTATAGGTTAGGTCATCCAAATTTCATGTACTTGAAACGTTTGTTTCCATCATTGTTCATCAATAAATATCCAAAGTTTTTTTAGTGTGATATTTGCCAGTTATCTAAACACACCCAAAGCACTTACTTACCCCGTCCATATAAACCAACTCATCCTTTCTCTCTTATTCATGGTGATATTTGGGGTCCAAACAGAATTCCAAATATCACTGGAGCAAGATGGTTTTTATTATTGATAGATGATCATACCCGTGTGAGGTGGACATTTCTCATGAAAGACAAGTCTAAATCCAGTCAAATATTCGAAAACTTTCATAAAATGATTCAAACACAGTTCCAAACAAATATTCAAATTTTCAAGACAGATAATGCCCGAGATTTCTTCAATTCCACTCTCGGTCCCTACCTCACATCCTATGGCATTGTTCATCAAAGTTCCTGCGTAGACACCCCTCAACAAAATGCGGTGGCCGAACGCAAAAATTGACATATCCTCAAGGTGGCCCGATCTCTACTATTTCAGTCTAATATCCCAAAAAGATTCTGGGGTGAAGTAGTCCTCACTGCAACCTACCTCATAAATAGGATGCCCTCACGTGTACTCACATTCAAAACCCCACTGGAAATTCTCCTAAAAAGTTACCCAAAATCACATCTGGTCACACAAATTCCCTTCAAAGTTTTCGGATGCACTGCATTCATTCATATCCATTCTCACAATCGTAGTAAACTTGAGGAAAGAGCACTCAAGTGTATCTTCATTGGGTATTCGTCAAACAAAAAGGGATACAAATGTTTCTCACCTACCACAAACATGTTGGTAACCGAATCGAATTCGGATGCGGAAGCGTGGCGGGGATGCGGATCGTGTATAACAAAAATTTCATAAAACTTTTGAGATACTCTATAGATTATATTAATTTATGCACGAATAAATTAATCACATTAATTTATATGTCAAGAACTCGATTAGGAAAAATACCTAGAGACCGACTCGGATGATAACTTGAGTTCTTTGACCACGAACAGTCCTTGCTCCAATCTTTGTGTTTAGAAAACCAAAGTCTTCCACGTCAATTCCTTGATTCCACGTAGACGTGTGTGTGGACACACGTGGGACAAAACAGGTTTTCAAAAACACTCGAATTTCCACAAACACCAACGCATGCACGATGTGAAATTTTTGAGAGAAAAATTTTCCTCTCTTTTTTTTCAATGAGAATTTCGGCCACCAATGCAAGTTAGGGCTGAAAAATATGTTTCAAAAATTGTGTTCTCAATTTTCTATCATTCTCATATTTAAAGAGTAGAAGTCAAACTTCAAAAAGGAATCAAATCTCTATCTCTTATTTAAATTTGGAACAAAAAATCTCCTACACCTTATCTCTAATGTGGCCGGCCACCCTAGGGTTTTTCTCCCTTGTGTGTGGCGCCAATTCTGGATAGGGAAGGAAGAGAAATCATCCTTTATCCTATAGTCCAATTTTAATTCAAATTCAAATTCGAATTTAAGTCAAACTTAAATTAATT